TTCCCTACAGGTGTGTGAGTGCAGTTCAGTTGTGTATGTCCTTGCAGGGACTGTGATCAGTGTATGGACCGTCTCGCTGGGAGGTCCTGGGCCTGTCTCTCCTGGGCTCCGAAGGGCCTGGCCTGCCTTTGTCGCTCCTCTCCTCACCTGGGCTCTGCTTCTCTCTCCGAGTGCTAACACATGGCAGGCTGCCACAGAAACAACATGACCTGTGATCTTGTTCGCAGTATCAAAGTTGGGTTTATTTAGAATCACGTTAATTGTCAGTGGATTCCTTGTCTAACAGCCTGTACCTTAAGATGCCATCTGTGAGGAGTCCTGCTGCTGGCTCCATCCAAAGCAACTGGATTGGAATGGCTCCAGTGCTGTTACAAAGCAATGAGTTGGCCAACTGCTAGTTTAAAAAATGGGAGGCACAAATAGGTATCTTGGTGCACTGTTACGACTTTTTTAGAACTGGTGGTGATGGGGCTTTTACTTGTCTTTAAAACAACGACACATACTTGGCTCCAGGCATTGTATTTAACCCTTGATCCAGGACAGGATCCGAACAGGTGCTCACCTTTAAGTGTGTGAGAAGTGTAACTATCTCAGAGTTTTTCCCATCCTTCTAAATGCCTGTTTTGAGGCCTTTCCCATAAGTTTTCACAAGCACTAAAGCCGTTCTTGAGATTTTAGCGAAAGCATTTTTGGGTGTCCTGCTCTCCATTTGCATCAATGTAGTCTGGAACACTTGGACCTTGAGGTCCAGGAATTCACCTTGAGCATCTTTGTTGTCTCAGTAAGTTTGGGCTGGCTGGCTGGCTGGAGTGCTGCTCCTGCTGCCTTTGGTGTGACAGAAGCTATGTTCAGCCCGGGCCAGCAGGCACACGCAGGTACCTGTGTTAGTGTGGCACATCATGGGTCATGAGATTCTCACCAGTTTGGAAAAACAAAGTAAGAAAAACGACATTTTGTGAGGTGAGTATGAAGGTAAACCACATGCTGTCATCTGCTCTCACTGCTTTTGCCACGAATCAGAGGTGTTTCCATGTAGGTGACTTTAATTTAGTTTCCACTTTGCTGCAGCAGCACAGACTCCGTCCGCCTCGGCCGCCGCCCCCAAAGATCCAGCGCTCATCCAGGCCCGTGAGTAGCTGGGGGTTTGCTCCACTGCCACAGCTTAACACTGCCTGAGTTACGCTCCTAGTAGCATTACTAAACCTTGGTAGTTTGAGTTGTCGAACTGTGCACAAAAGCCCTGTGTGAATTATGCTCCTAAACTCCCTTCTCTCTGCTGTGGCACAGCCCTGGGACCCGTGGTTGTTCTGCTTTTCTCTGACGAGCCCTGCAGCTCTCGGCAGCTCTGCAGGTAACTGGTGCTGCTCTGGCAACGTCTGGTGTGACTCTTGCGGTGATCTCTTACGCAACAAGCCCTGCCTGGCTGGCAGAAGTTTTTAGCCAGTGAGCGTTTGAAGACTTGCACTGAACTCAAATACCATGGGAAGCAGAAGTCTGGAAAGATTTATTCTCTGCAAGTTGACTTTAAATTAATTTGGGATGCTTAATTCTTCTCCATGTGCCAGATGTGGGATTGCACTTGAATTAAGTGAGGTCAGTATGTGGGCGGTAGAACATTGTACCCCGTTGTGGATGATGTATACACACTGGGTAATCACATACTATAAAACATAGGCACAGCAGGTTGGCCAGGGGCAGGGACTCTGCCACAGAACTCCACAGAAATTACTGGCCATGCAGTACCTGTACTGTGCTGGGCAGGGACACCTTATCTCAGCAGTTTTTCCCCAAAAACACTAGCTGTAGGACAGTCATATTGGTTGGCTTTAAAAATGGAGACACTGCTGGATCTGCATCAGATTTTTACTTTTCTAATAGCACAGGCAAGGGTGTGAGATTAGGAGGGCTGTTGGGTTTTGCAACAGCCTTGGAAGATGTTTATGTCTCTTCAGGACTTCAGCTTTATCAGTATAATTCCCCCAGAAGGCAAATGCACCTTGCTTCTTGCTTCCTTACATGTACACAGATGTGCATAAGAAAGAGAGAGATGCAAGTTTTCAAATCTAATCTTGCTAAAACTTGTTAGAATGTGTTTTGGATGAGCAGGTAACTGGTTAACAAGTGCACTTGGGTGTGTGTTTTAACTTTTGATCTCTGGTGCATGTTCCTGTGTTACATTTCAATAGCATGAGTTTCTTCTCCTCCCTCTTTCTAACTCTGGGTGTTTAGCCTAACAGAGTAATTTTTATGGATTTTTGCTCTGAAGATTTCTGTTTTATGTGTTTAAAAAATAGCATTGACTACGCTTATATGTGTTCTCTTAAATGTAAGTGGCATGGGAGACCCTCCCAGATGTGTCACACTAGGATCAGACTCTCCATGTGCCATGGGGTTCCTGCAGTGCCCTCGAGTTCCATGTTTGGCAGGTGCACTGAGGGTATGGGGTGATTCCTTACCAAAGTTGCTGAACAGTGTTGTTCAATTGGAGTCATTTATTACATGGAAGTCTTGCTAAGGCTGTTTAATCTTTGTAGTGCATTAATAGTCCTCACTGTAATGTGTTTGGTTCAACTGTCTTTGCTCCCAACGTGATTGATAAAAGGTTGGAAATGTAATAATGAAAGCTCCTGTTGTATTCATCTAGCTGTGTCAATAAGTGGAACAGAAAGGCTTCATTCATCAAGAGGAAATTCAAGATAAATGTAAATGATTATAATCACTCCCAAAAATATGCTTGTACCAAATATACATAAATTTGTTGTTGTTCAGAACTGTTATTTGGCTTTTAATAGTTGAAACACATTTCTATGTGTGTAAATAATACTTTGCGCAGGCTGATTTTTCCCTCTCTCAGTCTTGGCAGCTATTCCAGAGGTGGGTATCAGCACAGAATTTATCTGGCCTTGTACACGGAAGGAGGAGACCAGGTCCCTCTGCTCTTCCAGCCAGGGCCACATAACACCAGGATTCCTGAGAAATGCTGCTGTGAGGAGGAGTCCACGGGCACTAGTGCTTGCAATATGAGTCACTGCTAATAATAGAGCCAAAAACACAGACCAAAGAAAGGTCAAGGCAGCAGAACAGAGATGTTCTTTGCATTCTGCTGGTTTGGAAATGAGTTGTGGTGGTATTATGAAAGAGAGAAGGTTATTGCTTACAATTAATGGAGATCTGTTTGGATTCAAAGTGGCTGTTTGGAAACTTCATTCAATTAGAAAAAGTTAAAATATAATAATTATGCATAAAGTTGATGGGGACAATAATAAGCACATTCAGCCCTTCTGTCCTGGAAGTTTACCTTTGTTCTTTTGGCTGTGTGCTCACGTAATTGGATGTCTTTGTGACTTTTGCATTTGATAAGCATTTAACCTTGCCTGTTTGGCTGCGTAAGGCTCAAAATCCAGCAAGGAACGGACTTGATTCCTGGCTCTTCCCTGCAGTTCACCCTGAACAATGCTCTAAATCCCACTGAGCATGTCACCCCGCGCTGCACTGGGCTGGTGGCCCCCTGGAGCCATCCCAAACTCTCACCCCTCTCCCTCCTCACCAGCACTCCCCCAGGGCAGCACCCAAAAGGTGAAAGTGTTCCCAGCATGATGACAAGCAGCTTTGCCCATCATCCTCCAGCCCCTATTTAATTAAACAGCGTTGCTTTCTTCCTCTCCTTTCCTCTTTTCCTTCGTGCACTCCTCTCCCCCCGTTCCTCTTGCCTCTCTCCCCCTCCACACTCGCTCTCTGCCGGTCTCTCTCTCTGTTTTATCAGCCCTAATGAAGCAGTATTCTTCATCGATCCTGCTGATTGCCAGCCCATTCCTTTTGTTTGTTGGCACCGAGCCATTCTGCTGCGCTCTGACAGCTCAGCTCCTCTAATTAGCTCTGTTGTTCTTTTCCCCATGTTTCACTACGTTGCAAGTTCAGTCGAAGTTGCCACAAACTTAATCCTTCCATTCCTGCCATAAATTCACATTCTTAAGCCGTCTTTATTGTAGAGAGGAGCAGCCTTGTGTGGGGACTGATCTCCAAGACCTTAACATCTGACCTTTTCATAAGCCCTTTTTCCTAAGAAATAGTGGCGATACAGCCCTGGATTTCTTCATCATATCTGCTGTGCACCATCTCCTTTGAAATGAAAATTCAATACAATACAATAATGCTGCTATCGTCTGCATACTGGTGTGGAGGGCGGAAGTACTGCACACAATTCAGTGCCTTGTTCCTGGCAGGAAAATTTGAGCTTTATGTGCCTGGCAAAGAAAAAGGGAAAAGCCAAAACCCAAAACAGCTCCCCCAACAAAAATTCCTAAGTCATCCCAGACTGCTGAGGCCATAGGCCCTTAGGGGAGCACAAGCTCTGGGAAGTCAGGAGCTGAGTTGTATTCCCAGCTGTTCTTGAGGGTTTGGGGATTTCTGTTGGGAATAGCATGTAGCTAAGCCAACGGATCTCACTGCATTTCAGGTAAAGTTGTGCTTTCACAACTGAGCAGGGGAAGCTGGTTTGTACAGCCTGACCCTGATGCCGCAGATTCCCACATTTGACTCCCAAGGATAAGTTCAGCAGCAGCATTACTCACCAGTGTGGGCAGCCACATGCACAAACTTTGCCCATGTAGCAATCACAAGTGCTTATTCCTTCCCTTGAAATAAAGCTTGTTTGTTTGTGGAGCGCATCAGCAAATTCAGCTTGATTTCTGACCATTAGAAGGTGATGGACATGTGTTTGAAATTGGATTGGCAGCAACAGCATGTTCCACAGAAAAGCTTTGGGTTTTATTGCAGACCACAAAAGATAAACTAACATAACTTCAGGGTGGCAATGATGATAACTCTGAGGAGGGTTTGTGTTCAGCTGCTGAAAGGAAGTAAATTCTTAATGAAGAATGAGCGAAGTTTTTCATGTTAAAACATGTGTGCTAAGTACAAATTTTCCAGTGCTCCCTTACACAGAAGAGCTCACCTGAGAAGCTGGATTCCTGGGAGCAAGAGGACAGGAGGATCATGGTGTCAGAGCTGAGCTCTACTGTCCTGTACAGTATGGAACAACACACAGGAGTTAACAGCTTTGTACTCTCCACTAACTGTACAAGGGGAAGCTCACATTCAGGGGATCTTTCCTCAGACTTCTAGCCCCAGTTGTGGGTCCCTGCAATTTGTATTCATACTACATGTCTTTTCTATATCTGTATTTATTGTTGTGTCACAGAAAATAAAGCCATGCAGAATGGAAGATCCCTTTAGTAACTGATCCCTGGAGTAACTGATGAGGTGTCTCTGTGTATGTAACAGGTTCGGCCACCAAGACCTCATGTTGTTAAGAGACCCAAGAGCAACATTGGTGTGGAGGGACGGAGGACTTCAGTTCCCAGCCCAGAACAGTGAGTACCATGCTGCTCTGCTTCTCTCTAGATGTGTCAGCAAACAGTGTTCAGAACTGGAGTTAGCCAAAGGAGATGTTAAAAATACTACAGATCATAGTTCTTTTTAAATAACTAAACAGTTGACTTTTTTAACTTTTGGAACATTTTAGAGGAGGTGGAAAAAGCAAGAAACCAAAGTTTGCTTGTTGTAAAATTCTGGTTGGCCGGGTTAGACAAAAGCTGATCAGCCTGAGCAGAGATAGTTGTCAGGTTTTGGAGGTTTGCTCATTTCCGTGTTGTTTTGCACTTTTTCTCTGTCAGCCCCATCCCTGCACTGTTCTTGCCAGGCTTTACCTGGAGGTACAGACCTGTTTGTTTTGAGGTGCTGGCACTCAGGCTGTGTGTGATGGTAGAGTGCACTAACAGAGGGCTGTATGAGCTCTGTGCTGAGGGTTTGTCTTGCATAGTACCAGCAAAGTTATCTCCTCTAGCTTCAACAGTGAAGGGGTAAAGTTCTGAATCGGTTGTGCTGCTGCAGCCAACTGCTCCTGTACAAAATGTGTTGGTTCTCAACATCTCTCCTGTGCACATGAGCAGTATGTTGTTACCTTGGAGAGTTTTTTTAGGTAGTTCCACTGATGTCCCATATTCAAGGACTTGTTACAAAGAAGAAAATAGTCTGTGTTGCTGCAGGTTCCTAAGGTGGTGCCACAGTGGAGATGGCAATAGGGCCATCAAGTGAAGCCCTGAACAGAGGAGGGATGTACTGAACTTGCCAGCACAGCCCAAGGACACTACTGTGTGTGACATGTGGAGGCTGCATCAGTATGTATTTGAGTTCTTCTGACTGTAGCTACAGCAACTGTTCACAAGTACAAAGATCCAAGAGCACCGAGTTCTGGCTGGATACAGCCTGGCATTAGTGCACTTCTGAAGGGTCCAGGCAAGCAGGTTCTGCCTCTCGGCTCAGAATGTGGGAACTGTGCCTTTTGGTTGGGTGTCTCCTCTGCCCCCCAAAGCGGAGTGCATGGATAGCTTTTTCCCAGGCACTCCAGGGTGGGGAGATCCTCTGGCTTTTCCCTGAGCTGAGTGGTCACTGCCGCTGCACAGGATTGCTCGTCCGTTTGCGGTGGGGTTAGGTTGCCCTCTTGTGAGCAGACACAGATCCTGCACAGGGCTCGTGCTGGCCCTCACTGAGGGTTATAGGGATTTTGAAACTAAAAGCATTTTCTTAGTATTTAATCTGATGCGTTTAAACTTGCTGAGTGTAGGTGGAGGATAAGTGAATCAATTTACCATTTATGTGTGTTTATATGGAGGATTCTGCATGTTGGGGTTCCAAAGCTGCTGACGTTTCTGTGGCTCACTGCTAACTTGTGTCTTCAATTCCTGCCACTACCAGACCAGAAATCAACATAAACATGAATGATAAACATGATGTTTATGCCAATGCTAGAAATATATTAAATTACATTTCTTTTATTTGGTTTTAGTTTATCGCTGTTAATTTTAGTGAGTCTGTACATTTCAGCTGCTTTCACAAAACATTTTGTGGTGAAAATTATTGCCAATAACCTACAAAAGATAGTGAAGATGCTTTGTATCTATAAACTGACATATTTTTCTTTATGAGCACTTTACTGATGGATTTTTCCAACTTTTAAATGTGGAAGAAAACCAGGTAGCGTTGGGAATGGCACTGACACTTGCTATACGTGGGAGTTACGGTCTTTTCCTGGTGCTTCAATATTTATATTGACGCTTATTGAAGGTATTTCAGTATCTCCAGCTAAATGCAGAGTCACAGCAGGGTCTGGTGTGTTTTCATTCTTTCCTGTCAGCAGCTTCAGGTGGCAAAGCAAAGTTTGACATCACAAGCTCTAGATGGTTAATTGCAGAGTATTGCCCTCACCTACATCTCCTGTGAGGTGGTGGTTGCAGTGGCTTAGTAGGGACAAGCTGGGGCAGTGGGAGAGGCAGGACACACCATGCAGCAGTGGTGGGACTGACACCACAGCTGGGATTTTGGATGTACAGGGGAGGAAATGTCTGACCTTGTACTTGAATACAGCTCAACTGAGTGAGTTACCTGAGAACTAACTTGGGGTAAATGCTTTGAAATGGATAATGGCTCAGCAGTCCTGACCTTTGTCCTTACTATTTATATCAAAGTGCTGTGTGAAATTAAAATAGTAATTAAAGGGAGGATTTTCATTACATCTTCCACAAACTTTCTTTTTTCTGTCCCAGTAAGAAATCATCATCCTATAAGTGTTCTGAAATGGAGACATAAAGCCAGGTGTTGTCTCTTTGAAAAATTCACACTGTTTCCTCTCTCTTGGATAACACCAGAATGAGTAAAAGCACTACAATATATATTTTCATTCATGTTACCTGGTAGTGATGGAAGTTAGGAAATTTATCTCTTCAGTTACATGAGTGAATTTTTTAATACATATGAAAGAAAAACCTTATTTTGGGGGTGTCTGTGCTCATTTTCTAGTCAATGTTCCATTAAGCACAGAGGGGCAGCAGCAGTGACTGCAAAGAACACCCAAGATCATGGCTCATGTCTGTTGTTAAACCAGTGTGTTTAGAAGAGTCAAAATTAGCAGTGATTCATTTTTTCCATTTCAATAGAGTTTATTTTTTACAATTTTATCAAGAATTCAAAATATGTGATGCTTATGATTCTGAAAAAATTGACATCAAATCTAAAATTTATTATTTTTAAAGCCTATTTAGTTAGAATACAACAATAATTGGCAAACGAGAGCTGAGGAAATGCTGGATTACCACCTGGGGCAACCCTGGATGTGTGGGATGTGCCCCTGGAACACAAATTAGTCGTTCACAGAAATCAGGTGTTGCATTTTTAACAGTTTTTTGAGAGCTCCCTTTTACACCACAGCAAGGTTTCCTATTAAACGTGGAATAGGCTTCCCGAGCGCTCTAGGATCTGTCTTCTCGCTGGCTCGGGGCATGTGGAGTGGGAGGAAATGAACATAGGCAATCAGAGGGCAGGGCTCACAATTAGCAGCGTGTCAGGGGCTCCGCGGGTCGTTATGGCCCTGCACGAGGCGTGGAGGGCTCGTCCCTGGCATCCCGTGGCAATGGGCTGCAGTGCCTGCGTGGCCATCAGCCTGGATCGGGATGGAGTGGGTGTGAGGGCTGTGCTGGCTGATACAGGCTCCTGGAGCTCAGGAAATCAGGTGCAGCCAGGCCCTCGGAGGGTTGGGTGTGGGGAAGGTTTGCCCGGAGCTTTGATACTGAGAGTTCCCGGTCTGCAGGAAGGAATTCCAGTGGTAGGTCTGTGTTCAGATGGAAGAGTTCCCAGGTAATCCCCTCAGTCCCAACTCTCCTATTTCATCCCAGCAAGAAAGGCATCCAAATCTCTCATTCTCTGCATTTTACTGTCTAAGAGGGACAGATTCCCTAATTCCCTAGAGCTCCTGTATAACTGTTCTGTAAAAAACTGTACCAGTAAAAAATAATTCTCCCTCAAATTTTGGGAGCTGTTTTTAGGAGAATAATGACAGGTCCATACACTCCTTTGTGCTATAATCTCTATACTGAGGAAAAAAGCAACACAGTGATAAAACACACAAATTTAATTTTCTCATAACCAAAATATCTTTAAAAATTACTACAGAATTCTCCTTATTAATTCCCATCTCCTGCACTCCCATTTTCTGTATATATATATTTTTTCCCCATCTCAAGTACATTTAGGTGTCAATTAAATTTGAAATATCTACATTTGTCAGCATTTCATTTTTGGCCAGCGTGATGTGCTGCTGATTTGTCCATGCATCCTGACACATGAAAAAAGCTCCCGAGATGCAGATCTTCCTCATTAAATGGGAGCCCGGCGCCGCGGCGGTGCCGGCGCCGTGGAGCGCATCCTGCGCCGTGCTCTGACATGATATTTAAAAGGGAACAGCGCGGCTGTCAGCACTGTCACATGCCGGTGCTAACCGCAGACATGTTAAACTAAACATTAGAAAGAGATCAGCAAGTCATCTGCATGGTAACTCGGCGCCGAGATGAGGGAGGCAGGAGCCGGCGCAGCCGTGTGGAGATGATGGGGATGGTGGCGGTGACGGACACGTCCCTCTCCTGCCCCGTTCCCTCTCCCTCTCCTGGCCGCGCCGTGCCGAGCGCGCCCTGCCCTGCTGCTCAGACAGCTCGTGGTGCCAGAGATCTGCCAGGGCGAGCGGCAGCCGCGGGAGAGCTCCCGAGCTGGGCTAATGAGGGATTCTGCTGCCTCCAGCTAATAAAAAATTTAGACCTGGACAATTTTAGATTGTTCACGCCTTGTCTTGGACCCAAATCTCTTGAGAGCACAGCAGCAGCCACACTCAAGGGCTTGGTTTTTTCTGGTCCCACCTGCATTTAAGGATATTGGGACACAACCAAACCAGGGCATGGTAACTGGCTCTGTAGTTAATAGCATTTGTACCACAGTGCAGCTGATGATTTGGCCAACATGACCCATCCCATTTCTCAGAGTTCGGTCACGTTTGTTTAGTTGCACACAGACACATTGTGCTGGGATGTGGTGCAGTCTGGAGGCAAACGGGTACCCGAGCAGTGCTGTAGGGAGCTGCACCACGGCAGCTGCTCTATGCAGCCACCAAACATTTAGGGTATCAGTGTCACTCTGGATTTATGGACATCATTTTAGATTTTCTGGAATCATGGTAAATGGTGATTTGCTCTCCGAAGTCACAAAGACATCTGTATCTAACTTCAAAAAAAGTATCTTCCCAACCTGACAGCATGCTGATGTTGTTAGAAGAGTTGTGTTTCTGCCTGGGAAGCAAAGCTCACCATTCCCTGCTGAGCTCTTTGTGGTGCAGTCAGTCACCTTCAGGATGAATTGGAGCCTCCAGGTCTCTTGGTGTTCTCCTGGGGAGCTGTGATTGTGACCACTCGATAACTTCCTTTTCTCTTCCTGTTCCCCAGCCTCGTAAAGCCCATGCGACACTATACAGTCTTCCTCTCTGAGGACTCTTCTGATGATGAATTTCAGGAGGAAGAGGATCCTGTCTCTGGCTTCTCTGAAAACTTTTTCTTCTCTGCTCCTTTCGAATGGTCTATCTTTTACTCTTGGCTGTGTTCATGCTGGCTTTGGGCAGTGGGTTTGCCTTGGTCAGGGTGCCTGCACCTGTTGGAAATGTCTCTGTGGTCTCTGTATGGTGCTTGGTGAACGTCCAGCATTTCTCCTGCTTGTTTGTTTTGTGTTGAGCAGCATGCAAAAGCATCTTCCTGCATGAATCACTGCAGCAACACACAGCTTATGGTCTTACATCGACTGGAGCTCTGTGGGGTGTCACCTTTCCATTTGTCCTTTGTTCCAACGTGCTGGTTGTGCTCCTGTCCAAACCTTCAGCCGTTCTTCCTTGTGCAGTGATACTGTGACTTGGGGTTGTCCTTGGTTCAGTGTGGTTATCAGCCTTTTCCAGTGTCAGTAGGTTCAGTAGTAAAGGGCCAGAAAAATGTTCCTCCACAGGTGTTTGGGGTGACGAAGGACAGTTTGTTTGCAGAATATTCCTCGGGGGGGTTGCACTGTGATCTAGTGCTGATCACACTTGAGGTGAGACGAAGGACATGACCAATATTTGTGAGACTCCTTGTTAAGGACATGTACCATCACTGTCTGCCTTGTAGCTGCAGTGTCACACCCATGTCGTTAGCTGAGTACCTGCTCCCTGTGTGTTGGTGAGTGAGGCAAGCTGGGCTGCTCGTGAATTTGCATGATATATATGTATTACAATGAAATCTGGGAAGAGGAGCAGGGTTATTCCACAGTAGCTGTTTTTGCAGGTCTCACAAATATTTTCATTTAATTGAAAGCTTGTTGAAATGCCACAGTACAACTGGCTGCCAGTCAAGTGCCAGTCACCACAGCCGTGTGTGGCACTCATGGTATTAATTGGATGCACATCGTGCTGCTGTACACACCAATATGCAAATGTGCCGGGTTCATTTTTTTTGCTGAGGTATGTGCAAGGGAAGCATCCTGCTAACTCAGCCTTGGCTGGGGATGTGGAGGTGTCTCCATAATGGATTGTGGTGTTTCTTGATAAGATGACACCAGTGTAATCATTGGAACTCTGCACAGTGTTCCCAATTATTGCAGAAATACACTGAATTATGTTCAGTGCTGAGTTAGCTCAAAGCAGGAGAATGGAAGTGCCTGCAGACACGAGGCACAGCACAGCCCTGATGTCCTGTGTGAGCGGGTGGAGCGTGGTCCCGTTATCCCTGCTCAGCCTGGCTGTACCTGCATGGCCACAACTTCCCTCTGAGCACTTCCCACCTCTTCTGAACACCCTCAGTGTCAGGTCCTCTCTGCATGTCTCTCTGCCTACACACCTGCCCTGCACGAGGTTCTCTGGGCTCTATTTGCCACCCAGAAGCTTTTTGTAACTCATCCAACCCCTTAGGAAATACTTGTTTAAAAAATAAATTAGAAAGATGGTAATTGGTAATGTGATTTTTTTATTTGTCCCAGGCCTCAGCCCTACAGGGCCCTGAAGGAATCAGACAGTGCGGATGGGGAGGAGGCAGGGAGTCCTGAAAAACAGAAAGAGCCACTGCCCCCCAGCCCTCTGATCTCCAGCAAGGCTGTGGAAATCAACCTCCTGGAAGACATCTTCCCCAGCCTGGAAGTGGAAGCTCAGCCTCAGCCTCTCAGCCAAGCCAAGAGCCTGGAGGACCTGCGGACGCCCAAGGAGGAGGCAGAGCAGCGATGCACCTTTGAGTACCAGGTCTGGGGTTTCGTGTGTGCTGGGGCTGGAGCCTTCCCTCATTCCTTCCCCCATTCTCTGTGGAGCTTTTGCAGATTATTGGGCACACACCAATAATAAGTAAATAATCCTTTTTCCGGGGGGTTGCTCAATTTCTGAATTAAGAAATGGCTGAAATGGGACTCCGCTGTAAGAAACTTTTTCCTCTAAAGCCTTTGCTTCTGAAGGAGGGAATGTTTGCCTGTTCCTCAGAATGTGTTTTGCCCAGTGACTGTCACACAGAGTTCTCTCCAAAGCTGATGGTCAGCAGTGAGAATGAATAGCTGGGAATTTTCAGGCCCCCTCCAAACTTTTTTGTCTTTTAATCTGGCCATTTTGGTCTGAGCTTTGAACAGTCTAGATTGGAGAAGAGGAATTCCTTGTGAAGGACTTCACTGAACATATTCAGTTGAGAAGGTGCCAAACTAAAACAGACTCTGAGATCTTCATGTGACATGAAAGAAGAGAGCATAATTTCTACCTTATAATAATACTGAATCATGTCCTCGCTTCCTGCTCTGTGTTGTGAGATCAGTTAAAGTTAACAGTTTTTATGCTTTCTTGCAGAGAATGGATCTTGGCGTGTCCGAGAGGAACAGGATTGTGCCAGCCATGAGGCTGTCCCACCCTTACAACAAGCTGTGGAGTATGGGCCATGATGATATGGCTATTCCCACCAAGTATTCCCAAAGCTCACCGGAAAGGCCCTTGACCGCCCTGGGAAACATGGCCTCAGTCAGCAGGAGACCCCAGAGCAGGGACAGTGGTCTGGCTCCTGCAGAAAAGGATGAATCGAATCCTGCCATTCAAGGGAACATCACCATTCCTAGGCCACAGGGAAGAAAGACTCCAGAACTGGGGATAGTGCCCCCCCCACCAGCACCCAGGGCTGCCAAGCACCAGACTCCGGCTGGGTCAGCAGAAATCCTCACTGCTCACGGGCGCAGCCATTTGGGTTCAGATCTTATCCCAGAGCCCTTTGGAGTGAGTAGCGTGTCCTTAGACCCTGACACCCAGCAGTCTGTAAATTACTGCTCTCGTCCGTCTCAGCTGTTGGCCAGCACTGCCAGCTCTGCTCAGATGCTGCAGCCTGTCAAGGTGAAGGCAGAAGGTACAGGTAATGAAAGTGACTACCTTCTCAGTCTCCTGGACCCCCTGAAAACAGCCAGCTGGCAGGGCAGTGGCCCCCAGCAAGAGCCCCACAGCCTGCAGGGCTCAGCCACTCCTCCTCCTGCAGCTGCCTTTGGGGCACTGGCGAGTGACTTTGTGCCTCCTCCAGCTGCACCATTTGCTCAGCCCCTTGGCTATCCTTCCCCAGCTCAAACACCTTTTCTACAGCCATCCCCTAATCCATTCATCCAGACACTGCCAGGAACCCTTCCAGTGTCCCTAGTCAGGCCCCCGAGGGGCTCCTTCGCCCCCTCCTTAGGTCATGCATACAGCTCCAGCTTCATAACACCCAGTTCTAGCTTCTACCCGCCACAGAGACCTCAACCAAACATTTCAACACTGTCCATGCCAAACCTGTTCAGCCAGGCTCCAGCTGTGCCAGCAGCTGGCTCCTTGCTCCTGCAGAGCCACAGCCCTTCTCCACCCAGCTCCCTGCAGCCAGTGTGTCTGAGTGGTCCTTCCAAACCCCGAACGTTACCGGTGGGCCAGTCTGGCACGAAGGTAGATCCCAAACAGGCACTAGCTCTCCTGGCCAGTGAGCCCCCTTTGCTCCCTGCCAGGCCAGCCAAGGGCCTGGAGTCAGTGTTACTGTCCTCAAAATCTGAGGAGACAAAAGATCCATTTGAAGACCTGTTAAATAAGACAAAGCAGGACGTGTCACCCACGCCAGGTAAGGTGGAACAGCTCAGAAAGCGATGGGAAACCTTTGAGTGACACACACGATGGCCTTGGTGTCCCTTTGGAAATGACAGAGGGGCTTTTTTTGGGTTTTTTGAGCCAGCATAAGACCAAGCATTTCTTTTATGGAAGGCTGCGCCAGGACAGCTGCAGGACCATCACTGAGCTGCAACTCACACACGAGAGCTTCCTGCCCAGAGGTCAGAGTGCCTGTTGTCACTGCTCCCTCACTCCCTGCCACTAAACCCGGGATTCCTGCACTGACCAAAGCGTGAGGGGCTGGGTTGGGTTGGGTTTTCCACACAGCTTTTCAGACAGCACTACTGATGCAGAAGTTACTCCTTCCCTGTATTTGCAGTCCTTAGCCCAGCAGGCCACAACACAGCCCACTGCTGGGATTCCCTGGGGTCTGTGGGAATGGCCATCACTTCTGGCACTACACACAGAAACACCATGTTTTATTTTCACAGGCAAAGTGCAGCAAATGAACCTGAGTCGTGGGCTGCACTGAGTTAATCCTTCAGGCTCTGTTTTTCCTGTCTTGAAACCCAGACACTCATTTAGGGTGTGCTGCTGCATGGGGTTTGGTGACAGGTTTTTGATCCCCACTCATGCGCCGACACCGCGCGGTGCTGGCACAGAGCTTTCACAACCACAGCACAGAGCAGCTGCTCAGGGTTTGGTCCTGCATCTCTTAGGAAACCGGAAACACCAGCAGTTGTTTTAATTCTTTTGAGTTTGTCTGTTTTTGTTACATACAGCAGAAAATAGAGGCCATGAAGAGTATCCTAGTTCTTATCTATGTGTATCTTACTATTATCTATCAATATTATAAATGGCAGTATATGAATGGAATGTAACAATATCTTACTTGATTATTACAAACAAAAGAGGGAAAACTGGAGGTATCCAAGTTCCCAGTCCCAGTTACACACCAGTGTGCTCACAGGGCCTGAGCACAGGCTCTGGGGCAGGACAGCTTCGGGTTCTGCCCCATGGCTGGAGCTGCCCAGGCCGTGGCGCTTGGCACCCTCAGCCTCCCTGGAGCCCATGGGCTGCGTCCCACCCTGCGCTGGGGCCGCGGACTGGGAGCCATGGCACAACGGCCGTGGGACGGGGATGTCAAGATGGTCTTCTGTGCCAGCTCTCTGTGGCAATAGTGTTCTCGAGACGTTACCTCCGGATCCGAGTGGCCCCGAGGAGCTGCTGTCTCTCCGTGAGTGTTTCTTCAGTGGTGCTTTTTTGGTTTGCATTTTCTCTGGGCACACTCTGGTGTAAAACATGTCGCTCTGGCAGAGGTGTCACCATTGAGCCTTCGATAAAGGAAATTATCTTGGACATGTGGGGAAATTCTTGTAAAGCTTTACCCAATTTCCAGTGTATCTATTTTATTCATATAATCTTGACTGTTTTCTTACGCTGGGGCCTGGGAATGGCTGTGAGCGGGTCTGGGCAGTCTGAGAGAGAAATCTTCTTGCTCTCTGAAACGCCAGTGGCGTGGGAAGGCACAGTGCCAGGGCTAGTGATTTCTGTACAGTGCTGTCCCTGACGAGCGACGCGCTCGAGCTGTATTTTCCTTTTGTGTTGGAAGAGAGATGAGTTTAGTATTGCATAGTAAAATACTGAAAGTCTAAGCTAACAGTTCCCTTTTATTTATACAGAAGATGGACGCGATGTATTGTTTAGTATGGAACATCAGAGCTCCTTTGCTCTGAGCGGGATTAGCTGGGACAGACAGGTCTCCATGGCACACAAAGCTCAGACAATCCAGAGACAAACCCCAGAGACCTAAAAATTCTCTGGAAACTCTGTCCCACTGCAATCCATTTCCATAGCTGCTTTCTTTACTCTGCCCATATTATGGATGACTTTATGCTATTGATTTTGAGACAGACAAGAACACTTGGAGCAGCCATTTCCCCCTCACTTTTCCTGCCCTTTTCCCCTCATGTTTTCTGCCATTTTTCCCCTACTCTTTTTGCTGCCATTCCCACAGAAAATGTGAAGGAAAAATGTCAGGAAACGTGAGGGGGAATGGGTGAGAAATGTTAGGGGAAAAGTATGACAAACAATGCAAACATAAGAGGAAAAGAGTGGGAAACCTGAGAGGAACAGAGCAGGAAACGTGAGGGGGAAAGGCAGGGGAAATGTTTCAAAATAAAGATGGGAAATATTGGGTAAAAGGGCAGAAAGTGTGTCTGAAAAAAGGCAGAAAACTGAGCAAAATGGCGGGAAGAGTGAGGGGCGAAAAGGGCAGGAAAACGGGGGCAAAAAGGCGGAAAACGGGAGGGGGAGAAAAGGGCAGGAAATGGGGCCAAAAATGGCAGAAAACATGGCGGAAAAAAAGGCAGGAAAAGGAGCAAAAAATGGCTGGAACTGTGAGGAGCAAAAAGGGGTGGGAAACGGGGCCGAAAATGGCGGAAAATGTGGCGGAAAACAGGTGGGAAAAGGAGCGAAAATTGGCAGGAAGAGTGAGGGGCAAGAAGGGGTGGGAAAACGGGGGCAAAAATGGCACAAAACATGCCAGAAAAAAAGGCGGGAAAGGGAGCGAAAATTGGCGGGAACTGTGAGGAGCAAAAAAAGGCTGGAAATGGGGCTGAAAATGGCGGAAAACATGGCGGAAAACAGGCGGGAAAAGGAAGGAAAATTGGCGGGAACCGTGAGGGTGGGAAAATGGGGGCAAAAAGGCGGGAAAAGGGCTGAAGAAGGTGGGAAGGTGCATGGAAAATGTTGCGAAACGTCAGCCTGGTGTTTCTCAGGGCAAAACATGCCAAAGTCAATGTAACGAGGTCGGGTTTTAACTGAATTTTATTGTAAAGGTCTTTTGAAGGACATTCTAATTATTTACAACTTTAAAAAATTTACAATTACAAAAGAAATCAGAATCATGATCATTAACTACAGCGAGTCCAGTTTTGTGAAAAAATATATTCCAAAATTAAATATCAAAAGAAAGTTAAGTTCATTACTGCAGAAAAAAACACACACACAAAAAACCTCTCATAAATTATTTTGCAGAAATGCTCAAGACACTGACAGTGTTTGAACCTGCTGTCTGTGCCCCCAGAAGTGGCTGCTGTGCTGCCCTGGCACAGCCCCAGCCCTGCCCGTGGTGGCTCCAGAGTTTGGGGTTTGTGCCTTGGCGTTGCCTCTCAGTGCAGTGCCTGGTGCTGTGAGCTCTGGTAACACAGTTCTGCTCTCCCCCCAGCCACACAGCTGGAGGGACAGTGCAGCTCCTGCCTCATTTCTCTGCCGTTCAAGCACCAGGTGTGGAGTGGCGCTCAGAGCAGAAGCACAGCTGGCAGTGCCCTGGGGGTGAATGGGGTGGGAGTTGTGAGAACCCCCAGGCTCACTCTGACCTGCTGGATGTTACTACAGCACACAGCCCTTTGCATGGCAGCACAGGTGACCCACAGAGCTCTGTCCTGGCTCCTGCCCCAGGCTCTGCTCAGGAGAGACTCCACTCACTCTTCCCCCAGACAGACTCAGACCAAGGGTGAGTCTGTTTCTGCAGAGCCAAGAGTGCCCAGCCAAGCACGGAGCAGAGAGCTCTGCTGGCTCCTTCCTGGCTCCTCCTGCTGAGACTCTGTGCACCTGTTTCCATGGGTGTGCAGTTCAACCAGTGCTACAGCCGCGGGTGACAGGGCAGCGCCAACTGTCTCCGGTCTGAGTGTTCCGGCCCTCCCTGAACAGCAGCTGGAGGCACACAGAGCAGATTAGTGCCACGGGCAGTGACAGCAGTGTCAGTGCTAATAAATAAATAAAAGCAGTAGCAAGCTCACAGCCCAGTCAGGGCACCTGTGGCAGTGCCAGCTCCAGCTGCTTCCCAAACACAGCCAGGTGAGATCACCACTTGCTCTTTCTGCTCTTCCCCAGTATTAGAGGGAACATGATCTCACAGACAAAATATTGTCTCTGACTGGTTTGGTTTTTTGTTTTCCTAAATGTTCATTCTTCCATCAGCAGCTGCGCAGGGACCTGTTCTTAGGCCGACACGGCTGATCAGTAGTTTCGTGCTCTTCCCTTTGCTTGGAATTACAGAAACACTTACAGCTACAGTAAAAATAGAAATACTCCAAAAGCAAACCCAAATAAACAGCCTTTTCCTCTGGTGGTGATCAGCTACAGTGAGCAGGTTACCACCCTCCCGCTTAGAGTATTTTGGAGATTAAAAAGCAGCCACAGCATTCTAAAATACTCCTCACTGATAGCTGTAGTGATTATCCTGAAGCACTAATGACTTTAGACCTTACCTGGCCTGCTCTGCTGCATTTCCTTCCACAGCCTCTGCCACGTTATGCTAAAGAAGAAACGGCATATTCAACAGCTAAAACAGTAACATAGGAGCAGTGAAGCCACAAAATCAACCCCCTTTGTAGGGCAGTGTGGAAGGTGAATGCTGTGTCACTACACACCAACCCTGGTTTAGCTCAAAGGGCACTGGATCACTTAATAAGTTCCCCTCTCCTGCACTGAGAAGCCCAAACCACCTGAGAGGTCCAGGCTAGCACTATTGCCTTTTTCCCTCCTCACCCCAGCACGTACCACCCAGTGCTCAGCCCTTGGCTCTCACATGCATCAGTTCTGTGTTCAGTCCCTGCACTCAGGGGGTGTCAGATCCTACAGGTGGGGAACCACCGAGTCCCCCTCAGCCTTGCTGCAGAGCTCAAAGTGACCAGATGTCCTACACATAAACATTCTCCTTTCCCAAGGGTTAAACCAGAACTGGCAACTCGGGCTCAGTAAGGCACTTAAAATATTCCTGGGGTTTGGTCTTGGGGGAAGCTCCAGTGGCCACGTCCAGCCCAGCACAGTGGGACCTACTGCAGGGAGTGCTGTGGCAGCTCTGGCCCAGCCATGGAAGGGCAGCAGCAGCTCCACGAAGGATGTCCCAACACTCACTCACCTGGCTTAGCCTTGCAGAGGGGGCACAGGCACATGTTTTTTGAAACAACCATATTATTCACATTATTTCTGAATACAGTGGTTTCATTCCCCTTAACTTGCTCTGCCTCACTGACCTGTACTGTGCTTTACCTGCTGCCTGCAGGCAGCGAGAGCTGCCAGAGCTCTGAGCCCCCGGTGCCGGCCCCGCTGGCACCCTGTCTGTCAGCAGGGCTGTGCCCCCTCTGCCACAGCTGCTGCTTCCACTCTGACCCCTCCACTCACCCCTCTGCAACTGGTGGTGTCCAGCCCGAGGCTGCTCTCTTGCTGGCAGAGCAGTTTGGTACAAACTGTTTGTGGGATGAGCTGCAGCAACAAGCTCATTGAGCAGGTGAATGTCCCTGCCCTGACAGCAGGGAGGTGCCTGTGGCCTATGAAGCAGCTGAAAGCAGAACAGACCTGTCCTACACAAACACACTGCAACACCTAAGACGAGACACTGCAGCAGCTCCATGGCTGTCACAGCACGACACGGCACCTGTTGGTGGCCACAGGACTTAGATCAGCCGCTCGGTCGGGGGCATCTTGATTACGTTCCACATTTCCACTCGGGCCCCATCCTTCTCCTGCCGGCTGGGGCTGTAGGTTCCCTGAGTTGCTCTCCTCCTCTTCATGGCAATCGCCGTGGCTGCAACCACCGCGAGGAGCAGGGCAGCGCCCGCAGCCCCGACCGCTCCCACCACGGAGGAGTGGCTGAGGTGTGCCCACACTCGCTGCTGCGGTAGAACAGGGAGTTACTCAGAGCTTCCACCTGGACGGTGCTGCACATCACATCCCTCAGCTCCCCCCTTTCCCTGTCCCCTCCCTGTCACACAAAGCGCAGGGAATGTGGAGGAGGCTGGTGACCCTTTCCTGCTCACCTCTCCCCTCCATGCATGCCCAAAGTGCAGTGTCTGGCAGCAGGCACTGCCCATGGCTCCAAGCCTGGAGTCCTGCCTGCACCTTCCCTGCACGGTACCCATGGGAATGTCTAACAGCACCGCATCACTCAACATGGATTTGCAGAAGGACTTAGGTCATTCCTGACAATTCCCTGTAACACAGGGGCTGTCACGGGGCAGGAGGTCACAGCTGCTGTTGCTGTTGAAGACTGTGAAAACCTCACACACCTGAGCTGAGAGAGCTTTGAGTGTTTTTCAGCTGTAGACAAAACCAGAGCAGAATATACAAACCAAACCATGACACCCTCCACACAGCTCCTTGGTGGTCCCCAGAGAGCTGACCCTGTCACTGGTGCCTCCTTTCCCCCTGCCTTTAGAGCAGAACTGAACTGTGCCACGGCTGCCTGGGAGGTGGGACTGGAGCCACAGCTTCAGCCCCTGCCCAGCTCCTGCAGAGGTGAGGCTGGGGCAGTCCAGGGGCAGGGCAGGAGGGAGAGCAGAGGCTCACTGGGAGCCACCGGTGTGCAATCAGCTCCGTGAATGGGCCCAGCTGGAGCAGCTCTCAGACACCAACTGCCTTGCACACCTAAGTCCATGTCTTCATGACCAGGCCTTAAGGAAACTGGGATGGGGTGGATCTGCTGCTGCAAGTGCTGGGAAGAGACCAAGGTCCAAGCAGACCTTGCAG